TTTTTTTTTTTTTTCTTCTTTTTTTTTTTAATAATGAAAACAGTAGAGAACAAGCACAAAGCAAAATTTTCAAATTCCATTGCAGTAACATGACATTGAAAAAGTTGTCTAGAAGGGAGGAAAGTAGTTAAGAAGTGTCAAAATTATAAAATGTCTGGATGCTTTATGCAGGCAATATAATCAYATTGAGATTTTTACACTAGTCAGAAGGTTTTTAAGAGCACTGGAAGAAGTTCATGTTGTTAACAATATAATAAAGAAAAGTGCTAGAAAGAAAAGATATCTTTCAAATGCAGATTCTGTCCAAATGATCAAACCAGAAAAGAGCTAAGTACTGACATTAGCTCTTAAGACAGTCTAAAAAAAATGCCCTACCAAACTTGAAGAAACAACTTCCTAAACCTAAAATAATCATCATTAAACTTCCCCCACCCATCCCTTAGAAGTAAATATAGCAAACCATGGTAGGCAATACATAATACAATGTTAAAGAAAAAATAATCAAACAACAGTATTTAAGACCTACATACTAGAAACTTCATTAATGTATATTTCTAAAATATATCAGAAGCGGAAGAAAGCTGGTAGTTTGCTAGTAGTGATGGCGGATAGGAGAGCAGCAAAAAGATCTCTCAAAGATCCTTTGCATCTTTGATAATGCTGTAGTAGAGAAGTTTAAAGTGTTTTGTATCTATGTTTATTAAAGAAGAGGTTAGAGTTTTYCATGCTGGATCCAGTATTGGTAATTAATCAAGGAATATCCTAAGATGAAATGTCATACAAGTRATCTTTTGACTGGATCAATAAAACAAAGAGCCATAAATCACCCAGCATCAATAATACTCATTCAGGGGTTTTCAAGGAACTCAAGTTTGAAATTCTTAACAATATGRATACTTTGCTGTTTAAGTTAAGAGTAGGCACATGAAAGAAAGGGGACAAATGTGGTATAATTTTAAAAAGACTTCTAGGATGGCTGCTTGGAACTGTAAACAAGTCTGAAATCCATCCGTGATTAAAAAAATAGTAAGAATAGACATTTAAGATAGATGTATTGAGCAGKATCGATGTAGATTTTCCAAAGCAAAGTCATGCACCACAAATCCATTACACTTTTGAAAGTGTAATTAGAAATGTGGTCAATGACAATAAAGCTTCCAGCAAGGTACTTGGCCTTCAAAAGATACTAAATTGTTATGTAAGTAGAGGGAAGAATTTTCAACAGATTACTTGTCATTAAAAGTTAAGAAACAGATAATAGAAATATTAAACTTTAATAGCAACAGGTACTTGTTAGGTCCCAAAAAATTGTGTTCTGGCTTTTGTGTGTTGAGAAAGTAATTTTAAAATATATTGGCTAGTGCTAAACAACTTTTGAAGGTAATCAAAATTAAACACCTCATTATGTAATAGTAACAAATTGGATGATAAAAGAGCTGGAAGAACAATGTTGACAGAGGTGTATCAGTACATACTATGGATAGACAAAGCTGTACTATTGTTTGAAAAGGAGATTTGGCTGTCCATTTGGTTAGTACTATTAAAAAAAAAAGATAGTAAACAACACATATATTATCAGGAAGGAAAACTGAAATTATCACTATACCTTTGYATAAATGTGCATTGTGCTTGTGTCTGGAATACTGTTTGTCTATCCCCTTTTTATAAAAGAACTGAAAAGATACATGGAAAGATTACAGAAATCAGAGAGAGAGACATATAAACCAAGGAAATTTTACACTAAAAATACTCAGCTTCAAGAAAAAATTGTCTTTCAGAATGTGCTGGTGGACTACAATCATTGACTGAAGAAAATTAGTGGAGTACAATGKCAATTTTCTGTTCCTTATACCAAAGTAAGGCCATCTAATTAAATTTTCAGATAACATATTTAAACAAAGAAAAGGAAGTTGGGTTTTTGGTTTTTTTCACTCAATATAGTTAAATTATCAAATCTGCTGCTACAGGATATTGGAGTATACTAGATACAAAGTCATATTAGCATTTATCAGATTTCATTAGCAGGGTGGTCCAGATTCACGTTTTGCCTCAAAAAGTCTCGAAACAGCTKATTGTCAAAAAGCAAGAGAAAGTATTTTTGGAAATAAATGTGTTTTCTATTTCATGTAATGCTTTAGGTATTTTGCAATACTATTTTGACTTAGGTATGAAAATMAAAAAATGTCTTCTGTTTCTGACATTAAGAAGGATATTCATATTGGAAAGCAAGAATCTGATTTAGTAGCAATTAATATTTTTGGGTTTTCTTTTTGTAAGGTTGAGTATTGCTGGCTTTAAACTCTGGAACATCATAGTATTAACCATTCACGCTCTGCCAAACCAAAGCCATTTATTCTTGAAGGTTTTAAAGGATTGTGGTGTTGCTGCTTGTCTGCCATGAAAACCAAAGGCCAGAAGATCTGGAGAAAGATCTCACATATTGCAGAAAAGCTCAGGCTACCTCTGTGTACCTTCTTCAGCCAAGTGCTACAGATGATCAATTTGATTGCAACAAGTTTTAGAGCTTAGCAGGGAGACTGTGGCAGTAGGGCCTTTGAATAGAGAGTATAGATGTAAAGAAGGAGAGAATCAGAGCAGTAATCATAGGGCTTCCAAGGGATCCAGCACAGAAGACTGTAATTTGATAAATATGTAATCTTTATAACCCCCCAAATTTCAGTTTAACAGCAGGAAACTTTGTACAAGTTAATGACTCTTTTTCCTTACATACCCATTAATGTTTATATATTGAATTTTATCTGCAACTTTACTTCA